GTTTTTCATTTTGTTACATCCAATTTATCAAGTTTGTCTTTTGTTGACTGTGCTTTTTATGTTGTATCTAAGAATTCATTTTTAAAACTAGATCCAAAAGCAATACCCATTTTCTTCCAAGAGTTTTATGGTTTTAGTTCTTACAGTTAGGCCCTTGATCTATTTTAAATAAATATTTGAATATGGTACAAGGTATGAATCCAACCTCATTCTTTTACATGTGGATAATCCAGTTGTCCATCTCTATTTATTGGAGACTATTTTTTCCCCATTGTGTGGACTTGACACACTTGTCAAAGATCATCTGACTATAGATGTGTTTGTTTGTACTCTCAATTTTATTCCATTGGTCTGTGTGTCTGTCATTTTACCAATACCAGACTGTTTTGATTACTATACTTTATAGTATTTAAAAAATGTTTTATTGTGAATTATGTAATAGTTTACATGGGAGAACATTAGCTTTACATTCATCCTATCATATATTATTTCATTGCTATGGTTACAATACCCTCCATGCATCATCAACAAACCAAAGGACGTGTACCCTGCAAGCCTGCCCCTCAGTTGTCAGCACTTTATAGTATGTTTTGAAAACAGTGTCAGTATTGCTGCTTTTTTGCTCTTTTTCAAGATTGCTTTGACTGTTTAGGGCTCCTTTGCAATTCTGTATGAATTTGAGAACTGACTTTTCTATTTCTGTAAAGTATGCTGTTAGAGATTTGTTAGGGATTATGTTGAATTGATAGGTAACTTTGGGCAGTATTGACATCTTAGTAAGTCTTCCAGTGTATGAACACAGACGCTTGACTTTCCCTTTATTTAGGTCTTCTTTAATTTCAGCAGTGTTTTATATTTTTCATTATATACATCTTTCACATTCTTGGTTAAATTTATTCCTAGGTATTTTATTGAGATGTTATTGTCAATGGAATTGCTTTCTTAATTTCCTTTTCAGATCGCTTGTTAGGTTGAAACAAAACTGCTTTTGGTGTGTTGATCTTATTCCCGGCAACTTTGCTAAATTGTCTTAATTCTGGAATTTTTCTTGTAGAATCTTTGGGATTTTCTGTAGGATATTATCTGTGAATAGGATAGTTTGACTTCTTCTCTGTTTTGGATACCTTTTGATTCTTTTTCTTGCCTTTCTGCACTGGCTGGACTTCCAGTGCAATATTGAATAACAGTGCTGACATGCTTGTGTTTTTCCTGATCTTAAGGGGTAAGCTCTTAATCTTTGACTAGTCAGTATGATGTTTACTGTAGGTTTTTCATAAATGTCCTCTTATTATACTGAAACATGTTCTTTTGGCAGCTAATGGCACTTGAACATGTTTTTTACATTTATAGTTATAGGGATATTATTCTGTAGTTTTTTTTGTGTGTGTGTGTCTTTAGTAACAGGGTAATGCTAGCCTCATCAATGAGTTAAACAGTGTTTCCTCCTCTTATATATTTTAGAAAAGTTTGAGCAGAATTGTCAATTCTACTTTAAATGTTTTAGTAAGATTTCCCAGTGACACCATCTGGCCTAGGACTTTTTATTGGGAGTGTTTTGATTCAATCTCTTCACTTGTTATAAAAATCTGTGGAGATTCTAGTCACTTTAGGTAGAATATGTTTCTAGGAATCAATTCATCTAAACTATCTAATTTGCTGGGATACAATCATTCGTACTGTTATCATCCTTTTTATTTGTTATGTTGGTTGTAATGTCCCCAGTTTCATTTCTGATTTGCATCATGTTTCTCTGTTAACCTAAAGGTTTGTTGATTTTATTGAATTTTTTTCAAAAACCAACTTCTGGTTTTATAGATTCTCTCTCTTGTATTTTCATTTTCTTTCCCCATGGATTTCATTTGTTCTCCCACTCACCTCCAATTGTTGAAGTAATAGTCCATCTTCTCAGCAATGTTCTGTAGTATTGAGGAGACAACTCTCCAAAATGTGTGTGGATATCAAGGACTCTAATCCAGACTACACGTTCTCCTAGTGTTTTGAAGATTTTCTGGTACTTCAAGGAAAAAACAAACTATCTGATACGTCACTGCTTCGGGATTGCTGTTGTTTGATGTCGACTGCAGTGGACTGCTTAATTATTGCCTTTTCCACACGAATTTTTGTAGTGTACAGTTCAATTGTTATCTCTGTAGTCAGTAGCCTGACGAATTCCACAAGAGGGTGCACTGGCTCTTTGAGTTAGCCATAAGGGGCAAGCAGCTGTTGGAAAAGGGCTAAAATCTCTGTAATTCTCTGAACCTACCTTTTTGCGCACCACCAGATTAACCATTTTGTATAAAGTGCAACCACAAATCCCAGGTATGGGGAGGGCACTGCTGCTTGCCCTGGCTCCAGCCAACCACTGTAGGAATATGGGCTGTTGTTTCCAGCTCTGTTGTGGGATTTAAGAATGGGTGAGTCCTTTCCCACTCATAGCGACCCTGTATAGGGTTTCCAAGGAGCGGCTGATGAGCTTGAATTGCTGACCTTGCAGTCCAGCTACAGCAGGACTCCAGTCTGTGCATACATAATTCCCATGGGTACTATCAGCAGCTAATCCCATCATTAGTGTTTCCATGGTTAAGTATCTGATTTGCTTCCAGAGTCCCAAAATAATTCGTTCTAAGTGCTCTTTCCTAAGTAATAGATGATTTTGTGAAGGAATATGTCAGACTGCGAAGTCGTTTGAACTGCAAGGTTGGTGGTTCAAGCTCACCAGCTGCTTCTTGGAAACCCTATACAGGGTCGGTATGGGTTGGGATTGACTCAACGGCACTTAACAACAACAACAATCTGCCACTTGAGTAACTGCACTTCACTTTTAAAGTTCTAGTTTTGCAAGAAACGTTCACACTAGCCCTTTTTTGGCATTTAGAAACGTATTTGCCTCAATCCTGTGCCTTGATTCTTCCCAGATATTCAAGGAAGTTACAAACTGCAGGCATAGAGGATCCCACCTCCTTAGTCCATGAGGCAGTCCCCAGATGGATATGAAAATCTAAGTCTGACCCCCATACCCCTGGGCCAAAGGGGGGACACAATTCAGTTTACTACGGACTGCACTGAGTCTCACAGACCTCGCTGCCACAGAGGGGAGGAGCACATATGACAGATGTATTTTCCTACGATGTAATGTCACCTTGTTTTTGCTTCAGTGTTCTTTTAAAAGGTGTTAACTCTATTTTCTAGAGTTCTGAGTCTGTGGGTTCCATCACATTGTTTATTTTTTGATGGGGTGGGGGATAGGAGCATTTAGCTGCTTACCCAGCCATCTTGCCCTAAACTGAAAACAGTTTTTGTTATTGTTGTTGTTTCGGACTCATAGTGACCCTTTATAGGGTTTCCAAGGAGAGGCTGATGAGTTTGAACCACCAACCTTGAGGTCCAGCGCTTATCTCACAGCATCATACCGAGACTCCACTTTTTAATTGTTGTTAAGCAACATTTAAAAATGTTTTATCCACCCTTGTAATTAAAAAGCAGTCTGAAGGGAGACAGTTGGTGCTCATGAACGTGTCCAATTAAAAAAAAAAAAAAAGTGGAGTGAGGGGAGTAAAAAAAAAGTGACATGAGGTAAATAATGCTAACTGATGGTACACAGCGGAGCTGTCATTGTGACCACCCGAAGTGTGTAATTACTAGGACTGATGATCTAGTCTATAAACCTTCACTCAATTCACAATTAAAAGTCAAAACACAAAACTAAACAAAAGAGTACATGTGGAAAAGAAAGAAAAAATCATAAACCATGACAGCTCCTGGGTGTGAGTTAATGTGGTAGGATTAAGGAGAATTTTTAACCCCCTTAAGTCTAATGTTTTTTACAATACTGCTTTTCTAATGTAGATTTTAAAAACTGAATTTGCATGGGATCCTTTGTAGGAACAGAAGCTACTTTTCATTTAAAACTTTACCTGAAAGTCTTTTTTAATTTAGATATTTTATTTGAAGCAATGTATCAAAATATAATCATTTCAACATACTGTCAATATAAAAAAATTATAGCACATCTTAAACCAGATTAGTCACATAACAAATTGTCAGGAACCAGATGTGGCTAGTGGCGGCCACCATACCGAGTAGCAGTATTTCAGGTATGATGATATTGGGTCTGACGTTTTTTTGTAAAGACTGTCTCATAAGTGGTGGTAATGTCTTCTTCTATCAGCAGGAGGTATATAATGTCTTGTTTTGACTTTTTGATGTGAATTTATTTATAAGCTGTTGCTAATCAGTAGTGTTGAGCTGTGGGTTGATGCTGGACTGCAAAGTCTTTTGTTTTTAAGTTTTTATTGTGAATTGAGTGATACTTTACATGGGAGAACATCGGTTTTACACTCATCGTTTCATTGCAATGATTACAGTATCTTCCATGCATCAGCAGTATTTGCTTTTATTCCTCCCAAGCCCCCTTTTTTTTTTGGGGGGGGGGATGTACACAAAATGTCAGGAAACAATCATTAAACAACCAAATGGTACATTCTGCAAGCCTGCCTCCTAGCCACCAGCACACAGCCTTTCTCTACCTGAAAGTCTTTTATAAATTTTCTTCATTTTTCTGAGAATACTGTGTTTTTCTGCCTTCCCTTCACCTTTGTTGATTCAAGACACTTCACAGAGGACCCTGTCATGACTTAAAAACACGAGGAACCTTAGAAAAGCCCTATATATCTGCATTGTTGTTGCTGAGTGCTATCGAATGACTCATAGCGACCTGTATGGAGTGTTCAAGGAGTGGCTGATGGGCTTGAACTGCCAACCTTTTGGTTAACATCCAGTGCTTATCCTATAGCACCACACCAAGACTCTTAACATAATCTGCTCATTAGCATTAAAAAACAATTATCCTTAACGGGTATAACTGATAGTTCATTTTTGTCATTTTGTCTTAAATTTTTTTATTCCCAAGTAGTATCTATTTAAAAATTACTAGTCAAAAATGTGATTTCATAAAGCTGCAACTCTTTTAATATGTGTGTGTGCTTTTCTTTTTTTTATAGCTCCTAACAATAGTAAACAAGACATGTCAGCCTGGTTCAATCTGTTTGCAGACTTGGATCCACTTTCAAACCCAGATGCTATTGGACACTCAGATGATGAACTTCTGAATGCTTGACTGAAATTATATCACTTTACTGGTGTTGAGACATCAGTTTCGCAACATACTGCCTTGTGGAAAGGAGTTTATATTGTACCCATACACAAAGCATGGTGTTTGCAAATACCTGTGAGCCAACAGTAGACAGATGGTAAAGACCACATTTGAGTATGTTAAGTACACTCTTAATATCTTTGGTTTGTGACTCTTGATAATAGGCGGAAAAAGAAATGATTGAGTACAAAGAAAATAGCTAGCAATAAGAAGTTGGGTTTATTTCTCTTGAAACCATTTGTTTCAGTTAACTTGCTGGCTCTGAGAATTCTCTATAAATATTAAAGGACAGTATGGGATGGGGTTGAGATTTGGGGTTGAGTTTTAAATAAAACAGTGGTTTGGAGAATTATCTGTTGTGGAAAATAGTACTAGAACCAGACTCTGTCTTTAGTTAGAAAAGTAAAATAAAACTTGTGCACTCAATTTGCTTAAATGAAATCAGAGCGAAACTCGGTGCTTGTTTTCTCTTCATGTGAAGGCTAAAATTTAGTGTGTACGTAGCTTTTTTCAGTCACACAAAATCACGGAACCCTCTCATTCTATTACTGAATTTGTCATGGGGATGTTGTCTAGTTTACTAAGTCTATCCTCGGTAGGGATGAAAAAAATCTGTTTCTCATAAGCCACAAAAAGCTCCTATAATACTCAAGACATGGTATAGAGTCTTTTACACTGATAGTATGCATTATTTATATTCTTTCAGAGGAAATGAGGGGAGGACACTCTTAACAACTAGCAATTGTCGTTGTAAGTACCGTGGAGTTGGTTCCGAATCATAGTGACCCTGTACAGGGTTTCCGAGGCTGTAAACCTTTATAGGAGCAGAATGCCTCATCTTTCTCCTGCGGAACCGCTGGTTTCGAACTGCTGACCTTGAGATTGTCAGCCCGACTCGTAACCACTATGCTACTAAAGCTCCTAACAACTAGCAGCAGTATTCCTTAAAGTCCCAGAAAACTTCTACCTGAATGTAGACAATTTAAACACTTACTATTTTTCTTGATGTGATTTAACCTGGAATACTTTCTGGCAGAAATATAGATTAATCTATTAAGATCAATAGGAGTGTCTTACTTTTCTACTTTTCCCTTTGTGTGCACAGGTGATATGATCTGCAGCTCCATGTGGTTATTAAAGCAAAAAACCTTCATTTGAGGGTTTAGAATCCATGTATTGGGGAAAAACAATTTAATGAAAGTTTGTGAAGCCAACAAAAACTAGCTGCTGTTTACACTAAGCTCTGACTAAATTAACTCTTCTGTTTTCCTTGCCCTATAGTTTTGAGGCTGTTTTCCAAGTGTCTTATTTTTGTCCTACAATCTACTAAACAGGCATATTTAAAAGAGCATTCTGATATCTGAATCATTGTATATAAAAAATAATTTGTAATAGGTAAAATGCAGTCCATTTCCCATTGACAGCAGTCCAGACTTACTAGGCTCTAACTGCCCACAAGCTTTCCAGAAAACCATGACTGGCAGCAAGTGCTGGACAGGCTGAAAAGGCATTGTCTGAGGGCAGAAACATGGACTCTGGTAAAAGTTATTAAGAGCCTTTCCTTCCTCAACATCTTTTGACATGCTTCTTTCTCTTTTTTTACTCAGTCTCTAAATGAGCTGTTATTTACCACTTCAGAAAGATTTGTTTAAACTCTTTTCACTTACCCAGCATGCAGTACTGTCCTTGTCCTGCTAGGATTCAGTCACAGGAGTATGAATGTGAATCGCAGTGTAAACTCCAAACCCAGAGTCTGCTGCTTTCAGCGTCCATTGAGTACCTCAAAAGCAATGCTACCTTTGTGCTGCGTTTTCCTTGCTTTGGTAGCCTTACCAATGCATTTGTTCAAAGGTATCTATTCCTCACATGCCTGTAGTGCAATCCACTTGGATAAATGCAGATACCTCAAAGAATAGGAAAAGCAGTAGTGTCTCCAAGCCAGATCGAAATTCCAGACTAGGAGAGCGTAGGGGTAGCACCCTCCATTTCCTAAGATCAAAGGATCTCAAAAAATAGAAACGGACAGAGGATTTTTATTATTGCAGTCTTAATTTCTGTACCACTTCCTCTTTTAATAGAAATAATCTAGTTGCCCATTTCACCCAGAAGAAATATTGTCTCTGCAAGTCCTGCTACAATTTCAACAGGCCTCCTACAAGTCAGTTTTTGAAAAGCAAATTGTAGATGTTGTTATTAGAATGTTTATTACATTTCCACAAGATGAGCTGATCTTTAGACTCAGTCACTTATTTAGGGGTCAGAAATAGAAACTTTGTTATTACACTTAGATTGCTAACCAGGAAACCAATCATACATTCAGTAAATCTTCTGTTTTTTTCTTGTACCAGGTAAGAATGCATTTAACCTTAGAAAAAATCCCAGAACTCCAATTTGTCTATTGTTTCTACCACCACTTTACAGGGAAGGCAAGAATACCAGAGCATAGATGAAGATCAGATCAGTGTAACTTTGTGTGTGTGTGTGTGTGTGTATATATATATAATATAAAATGTTTCATTGTGAATTATGTGATAGTTTACACGGGAGAACATTAGCTTTACATTCATCCTATCGTTTCATTGCCATGGCTACAATCCCTGCTCCATGCCTCATCAACCATCCAAAGGATATACCCTGCAAGCCTGCTCCTGGTCATCAGCACACAGGTAACTTTGTATTTTTTAGATCTGTCATTACTTGTAGAACATAGCTCTGATATGATTAGAAACAAACTGTACTTACAATACATTTCCATATTTGCACACTGAAAAAGTGTTTGGATTTCAACTTCAGATATTTCTTTCACATACCTTTCTTTAGAATCTCTTGAAATGTAAAGGTCTTATAGTGTTAAACAAAGGAAGTTTGTGTGTTTGTTGTTTTTTAACCTCTTTTAATAAAGATGATAAGATTACATAAAAATTTATTTCATAAAGTGGTCAATACAAATTCATTTATTGTTTGTTTCTCCTAATCAGAATCTTAGATTTTACCCAAGTATCATAGCAGAAAAGTTTACTGAACTGACGCACGTACCTCAGAAAGTAAACCTGGACAGCTAATATCCTTATGAGACTGATTCTTTCTCACTTACTATAGATAGAAGTCCTGGTGTGCTGCTGTAAGAGAAGCACTGGACCACAAGGTTGGACTGAACTGAAAGATCTGTGGTTCAAACTTCCCAGCTGCCCACAGGGTGTCACTATGAGTCGGAATTGACTTGACAGCATTTAACAACAGGTAAATAAGATCCAAGAAATAACTGTATGTTCTTTGTGTAAATGCTCTCAGTAATGCAACTAGCAAATATCAAAATTTTGAGCCTTTAGAACAATAATCAATGAAACATAAACCATAGTTTTTACCGTGTACAATGAAGCAGCTCCAGAATTTCAGGATGTAGAGATAAAATTAAGAAAGAAACACAAACTTTAAAATGTTAACTAATTCAGCAGTACTGAAAGGAAGACATGTAAAACATACAACAGTAAAGTTTTTATAATAAAGAAAACCTGAATAACAAGACAGGGAGAAAGTGGTTTATCAAGATGGGTCACAGCTAGAAATTCATCATGAAATATCTTTGTCCATCTTTTATGTACCATAGAGTTCAACACAAACTATCCTTGACATTTAAATGGCTCATCACTCAGTGGTATAAATACACCATTCAACAGTCAGAGTAAATACTAAAGTGAGCTAAACATTTGCCTTTTTAAGGTAAGATTAACAGGTTTATGGGTCAGATGTTTAAATGTCATTTCCCCTTCTCCCATTCCACTCTCATTTAAAAGTGTGGAAAACCAAAAACTAGACAAAGTAGCCCTCCCATCCAGGGATGGACATTATTAACACTGTAGGAGTATGTCCTCTGCAATTCTCTTTTTGGGCATGCACACGAATTAAACTGGGATACAGGTGACTTCATTTCATTGTCTCTCCTCTCTCAGCTTACCAAGTTATTAAGATTAAAATACGACCTTTTTAAACCTTTTTCTCAGAACTTCAAGTATAAAAAAATAAGTACCAAAAATGTGATTGAATTCAGCTCCTAAGCGTATAGGGTATCCAAGGTTGTAGTCGTTACAGAAGCAGACTGCCACATATGTCTCCCATGGAGTAGCTGGTAGGTTCAAACTGCTGATCTTAAGGTTACAGCCAAGCACTTAGTAAGTGCACACACCACCAGGCTCCTTTTCATCATCTGTAAGACCGTGAAAACAGCAGTGCCTGCCTTCATAGGGTTATTGTGAAGAACGCAGTGAAGAACAACAGGTAAAGTGCCTGGCATTGGCTAAGTTAGTATTGAGTAACTTTTTACTCTGACTACATTATACATCAACTCCTCACTCACCGACTATTTAGTTGTCTGACATTTTCCTAGTTATGAAAGATTAGAAATCTGTTGATTATTTAGCACATTAATGGTGTATGCAGTGAGTCCATTTGGCTGGGCCATGGTCCTTAGGGTTTTGGCAGTTATGCAATGATGTAGTCAGCTCTCATGTAGTCATCTGATGTGGCCGTCCTCCATTTTTACCTAATGCCAATTTTTGCATTAATGACCTATCTTTGGAACCTAACTATGTCAACAAGTGAGAAGTTGATGTATTTTACAAGCTAAAAGTCAATTTTAAGGGACCATACTCTCATATAAAGAATGTTTTTCTTTATATACAAAAAATACAAAAAAAAAAGTGAGTGCTGATAGTTTTAGAAGCTATTTTCATATTCCACAGCCCATTTAACTAACAGCACTATCAGCATTTTCATCTGGTAAAGAAGAAAACAGGTTCAAAAGTGACTTTGCAAGATCCCATGACTATTAAGCAATAGAGTCAGAATCTGTACCTAAATTGTGACCTTCTCTGTTTCTCCTCTGAATCATCCCAGTGATCTCAAAAATAACTTCCTAAAACATGCAATTGAGACAAATAGTAAACTCTGGTTTCCTAACCATCAGA